GTTCTTGTTGTTCGGTTATTTCTGGAGTATGATCCAGTTCCAGAACTTGAGTTTTGCATGCATATCTGTTTCATAGATCTGGCTTATTTGTATGTAGACTATTAGTTCCTTGCCTCTCAGGCAGATGCACTCCAAAGCAAACATTCCTAATTAGTCGACTTGTAAGATATGCTTGCTGGAAGGCACTAAGGGGGAGGTGGGGGAATGAGGTAGGTATATTCTTTTTTTAACACACAATGGGGCCACATAAGCCACTTGCCTTTGACTTGACTTGCTCCTAATTAGACCCCTCTTTCTTCTCCTTCTTTTTCACCGGCTGTAAACTCTGGCGTAATGTTCTGGTTGTTCGGTTATTTCTGGAGTATGATCCAGTTCCAGAACTTGAGTTTTGCATGCATATCTGTTTCATAGATCTGGCTTATTTGTAGGTAGACTATTAGTTCCTTGCCTCTCCTTGCCCAAAAAAAAATCGTCGCATTGAACCAGCATCCCCAAAGGGGGAAATTTAGGTTATAACAGTAATTAGGTTATGGGCATTAAATAAAATGGCCTAGCATAGCTTGCCACCAAATAGATCTGAAAAGGACTTTTACAGTGCTGATTGGATCAAATGAGAGACCCAAATACTGTCCTGACCAGCGATGAAGTTTACCTGCCAGCCAATGGGCGACCCGATCGACAATGTGAACCCACAGGGGGCGTAACCTTTTTCAAAATACTTGCTAGGGGTCTATGGGTCTATTCTTTTTCCTCGCAATATCAGGCCGCAGAACCCACATAGATTCTTACGTTTTTGTATTCTCAGTATCTCCTCCAGATCTTGACACACTGGATTAATGACAATGATGAAGCCACAGAAGAGATGAAGCGTGATCAGAATCTGAACTGTGTACAACATAGGTCCAGGTGAGACACTCTCTAGGATGTTGTCTTGAGCATTGATGCCGTAGAACTTGTAGCCAGCGATGGCAACCGGCAGGTACATCAACAGAACAACTGTGAAATAAATAAAAATACACAATTAGTTTTTTGAAGTTATTTGCATTAGGACGAATTCAAGAAAAGTGAGAAAAAAGAGAAATGTCTGGATTTTAATTAAATTTATTAGTAAAAGAAGGTGCCAATATATTGGGTATATTGTGGGGTGAGGCAGTCAAAGAATCACTAAACAGGCATGGAAATGGAAAATAGATGGATTGAAGAAACGTTAACATCTAAAAGAAAGCCTAAAGTGAATGTTACAGGCTATAAGGGCTAGACTGGATTCCATGTGTGATATCAAAAGGATAGAACAGAATGGAGGTTTAAACTACAGGCCCTTTGTTACACATAATAACATGAAAGGATGATGATAAGAATTCTCTGGAAAAAAGACAGTCTCATTTAAATTGTCTTTCAAAGAACGTTAGGGCTTTTTTCAGTGAAAGTCTTATTTTCTTATGTGCAAAAATCTACCTTTATATAATTATTTATTTAAAGGATGAATGCCCATAATATTATTTATTAAAGATTATTCATATTTTACTTTGTTTTTAATTCAATAATTTCATCGCGTGTTTCAACGGATGAACAAAATCAATCAATCTTTTGTAGATGATCTTAACAAGAGCTGATACCTGTCACAGCGCTTAAACTACAAACACATTTAGGAATTTTTTAGTCTTATTTTTAGGCACACACTGCATTTTGTTGTGTTAAGTTCTTGACTGTGAGGTACCTGCGTAGTGGTATTAATCAAATTAGACCTCCTTCTCACTTCCTGCCAGCCGTGTTAGCTCATGGGAGCATTGTCCGGTTATTTTTTTTTTACGTTTTTCTTTAGCCGTGAACATGTCAAGAAATATTAAAGTAAAGGGCCATTTTCACACCAGGGGAGCATAGGGTGTATGATGAAATATAGGCAGAAAGGGGTTAAATGAACAAAGCATACATTTCAGACCACCACACGGCGTACTAATCCATCACTGTGTGAAATGACAGAAATGGGTGATTAGAAAGCCATGGCCTAGCCAACTATGCAGAACACCTTCATGATAACCGCCATGACATCTGACAGTGAGGGATGAAACATTCGACGAGTGCCCGTGAGCTGTGACCAGCTGAAGAGATACGTTCATCCAAACGTGACCACCAAAGACAGGTGACAGGGGAGTGATTAAGAAGGTACGCCGTAAGGAGCGGAAAAGCGGGAGAATAAAGTTAGCCCCGGAACCGCTTGAGAACGGACAGTTAGCTCCGGAACCGCTTGAGAGGACAGTTAGGACCGGACAGCTTGAGAGACCAGTTGAGAACACCAGTGCTGTACTTCGTTTAGAAGGATATGTTAAACTTGGAGTTTAACTAGAACAGACAGTTAGCTCCGGAACCGCTTGAGAGGACAGTTAGGACCGGACAGCTTGAGAGACCAGTTGAGAACACCAGTGCTGTACTTCGTTTAGAAGGATATGTTAAACTTGGAGTTTAACTAGAACAGTTAGTTAGCCCCGGAACCGCTTGAGAGGACAGTTAGGACCGGACTGCTTGAGAGACCAGTTGAGAAAACTAGTGCTGTACTTCGTTAGAAGGTATATGTTAAACTTGGAGTTTAGCTAGAACAGTGAGTTAGCCACGGAACCGCTTGATAGGACAGGTTAGGGCTGAACCGCTGGAAAGACCGGTTAGGAGAAAACTAGTGCTTTACTTCGTTTAGAAGGTATATGTTAAACTTGGAGTTTAGCCAGAACAGTGGTTAAGGAACTCGTAGAGGCATACGAATAGCCAGTATTAAGGAGTGTTCATATACTATTGCTTATTGAATTTATGAAGTCTGTGTGACGAGAATATTGTGAATAAACCAACTCTTGTGTAATTGTTACATCACTGGCCTTGTTCTTGAATACGATTGAAGAGAGCTACGAACTATATTCATTCACCCTTGGCCGAACTAGGCACATCTATTTCTTGGGGGATGTATAGGCACGACTGTGCCACAAGTGTGAGGATATTTGGATGCCGTGACCAACGATCAGTCTTGTGTACTCGACATCTTTAAAAACAAGACTGCTGTTACAACATAACAAATAAGCAACTGCTATAAAAAGGTGAACTAAAAGCAAGTTTATGATTGTGCCTGCTGAGTAAGAAAAGTCGAGAAAAACCGTCATCAGAATAGAGAGACGTAAACCAGACCAACAGCCTGCACCACCTTTTGGAGCCAACCGTCTACACTAGAATCAGGGGGACAAGCCCGTTCTAGCCTGGAGCAAACCGTCTACACTAGAATCAGGGGGACGCGGCCGTTCTAGTCTGGAGCCAACCGTCTACACTAGAATCAGGGGGACACGCCCGTTCTAGCCTGGAGCAAACCGTCTACACTAGAATCAGGGGGACGCGCCCGTTCTAGTCTGGAGCCATAATATAAACTTTTCCTAACTTTACACACTCGGAAGACTATAGGAAAGTCAAGAACTGTGAGCTGTCCGATTTTACAAATAGGAACTGCAAAATAAGCGCGATTTTAAAGAACCTTGAACATTAACATTAATTAGTTTAAATATATTGTGATTTTCAATTTACAGTGGTGTAGGAAAAACCTTTCTATCTTTCCCTACCTTTCTTCCTAAACGTAGAAAATAATTCCAGGACAGTGCCGATTTTTAATTACAGTGTGTTGTGAAACGAGAATTTTTTTTTCAGACCGCACTTAACAAGGTAATTTGACATTTTCTGTTTTTAAATTTTATTTTAGTTTACATTAGTTAATTTTCCAGGTTTTAATAATGGCATATCAAGGAACAGTGAGAGCACAGTTTAGCAGAGTTTTTAATGAAGTAGCACAGTTAGGTAGAAAACTCCGTATTCCATTTTTTATAGAACAAAAAACTGCTCAGCATTGGTCAACTGTAGATAGTCGTAGACAAAGACAGAGAGAAAGAAATTATAACATAGCAACAGTCACTAGAAGTAACGGCGATGTTAATCGACTGTCCGGTTTCCCAGACAGGCGAAATTATGCTAACGAGAGATTGCAATACCCTAGAGATAATCAGTACCGCAGACCAGACAACACAAAAGCGTACGAGAAAAATCAGGGTCAACTGAGGTCATGTGTACGGAATGAACGAGGGCATTTTAAAATTTCCATAGAGCAGACAGGTTGAGAAAGTTAGAAAATAACAGAAATATCAGAGCACAGGAGCAGTGGCGTAATTTTGGTAACAGATATCAGAACATAAATAGAGTAGGAAATATCCATGATAATAACCGAAGTCGAGTCAGGTCATGTAATTCAGATACCAGATTCCGCATGATGAGCACTAATCAAGATTACAGGGCCCACGGTACGACCCATAATCAAGCCAACAAATTCAAAAGAGACAGGTTAAGAAAATTAGGCTATAATAAGAATATAAGATTGCAAAACTTAGGAAATAATCGCGAGGTCAGTAACTATAACGGATTATGGCAGACAGGTAATAAAAGCACGTGCGCTGCTGATGATGAGACAAATAGATTAGTAGTAAAAGGGTTAAAAGAGAGGAATCTCATGAAACGGTTTAATAAACGCTACATTAACGAAGTAAATGCGGTAACTGTAAACGGTACACACGGTGAATATTTTAAAGAAGAAGGGAACATAGAAACACGTAAGAAGTTAATAACGACTAAAGTAAAGTCGGAACAAGAAGAAGATAAAGAGGCTTGTTTGGCAATGGAATGGTTATGGGAAGTAAACGCGGTAGATGTAAAAAGGCTAGATAGCAATAGCATACATAGGAAAGTAAAGAGGTTAGGGACAATTAAAAAAAGAAATCAGCAGGATTTGTCTTATACACAGGTGATGCCTACAGAAGAAGAAGGTGAAGGAATAAATACATTACCGTTTGTAGTTAGTAACATAAAGGTAGATTTATTCTCAGAAAACTACGACGCTGATAATGAAGTTGGGATCACTAACAAAACGGGTCGTAGAATTTTAGTCGCGGTTAGAACCAGGACTAATACTCCGTCTAGTGTGAAAGAATTAAAACCGTCAGAAGTACCAGTTAACGGTACATGTGATCGTAGAAGAGAAGAAGAAGAAACAGTAGAAACTTCGCCTTACAAAAGAAATCAAAACATGAGACAAGAATTTCTGAAATTAAAAATTCGCATACAGATCTAAAAGAGAATATAGTTTTACAGATACAGAGGAAAGTATGCGAAAGACAAATAACAGAAGAAGGAAGAGTTTGTAGAAGCAAAGGTGGTAATCTTGAACCTGAACCGGTAGAAATCGACAGAAGCTGTAGGAAGACGAGACACAAATGACAGATATTATAACTGAACCAGTAGAAGATAAAATTCTTTAAATGTCTCCGATTTTATATCGAGCTAATGGGCATATCATTTAACAAATAGCGAACAGAATTCAGCACATGATTTCACTACACGCGGGACAGACAAAGAAGAAATAGAACTAGAACAGTTAGGCATCCACTACAGTTAGTAGGCCAAAATCACCAGGGGGTAGACTGAATTTATACCCTGAGTAAACCATACATTAATTACAGCCCCCCCGCCCCCCCCTTTCACCATGACTGACTGAAATGGGATCGTTCGTAAAATGGTTCAATAAATGTGGGATTGTAGGGTGTATAACAAGTAATTAGTTTCATTCATTACAATTTACGTACGCTATATTGCTGTGTACAGAGGTACCGCGCTCGCTACACATATTCTGTTGTTGTGTCTACATGTCATTTGTCCGACAATATTAAATATATACCGTTGTTTTGTCCCTACCATTTAATATTTACATTTGGTTTTGCACTATGAACGTTTTTTAATCGTGTTGTACTCTCCCGGACAAGTGAAAATCCACACGTTCGGTTGTGGGTGAAGATTACAATACCTACATGTTTTATGTTCGCTAAGAGAGTTACTGGCCACAAAACCTCTCTTATACATTCTGTCAGAATGATGACTGATTTGAGTTTAACCAGACTTTACTGAGGTACACAGTTAGAAACGTACTTGGCGATAAGCCAGTCCAAAGCATGACATGATTGGTAACTGAATATAGGCCGGCTATTTCTTTACAGAAGATGCGATATGCATTAAACAGAGGAAGCAACCTCTTAGGGAAGCAACAATAAATGCTGTGGACTATCACAGTAGATAAATGCCTGTAAATACAGGTGGTGGCATTGTACATTCGACTTGAGGAAATGCTACGATTGTTTCCGAGAAATTTCTCTGCAATTAATATACCTAACGGTATAAGAATTATTCATACTCTGTAAAGGTTATACCTTATTATTCAGTCTATGTTGACTTTCTCAGAGATTCTATTTTCATCCTTTCTTGGGGAGATGACATTTTCGAGTTTTACTTTATTGATAACTGGGGATACATGGCATGTCATTTCTTGTATACAATGTTTTCAGGTTTGAGTTTATAAAGTGGGAATACAGATACTATTCCTTTATACTTCAGACAACTCCGCACATTCATTAGGGATACCAGTGAATAAGAGGTTGTTATGCTAATACAACGAGGGAGTTATATCGTTTTTTTTTTTTATGTCTTTAGAATTATTGACTATTAGTTATTGTATGAATGTCACGTTTTCATTATACTGCATGAATTTTATGATGTTACATGTTATGTTGTATGCTTTCATTACGTGGCTAGATGTTCATATAAGGTTTAGTTAGGTAGCGGGTATAATTAGAGTAGTTTTTATAAAATTGAAGATAGGAAACAATTTTGTTAAAAAATGTGTGTGGCGAATGTAATGAAATATAGGCAGAAAGGGGTTAAATGAACAAAGCATACATTTCAGACCACCACACGACGTACTAATCCATCACTGTGTGAAATGACAGAAATGGGTGATTAGAAAGCCATGGCCTAGCCAACTATGCAGAACACACCGCCATGACATCTGACAGTGAGGGATGAAACATTCGACGAGTGCCCGTGAGCTGTGACCAGCTGAAGAGATACGTTCATCCAAACGTGACCACCAAAGACAGGTGACAGGGGAGTGATTGAGAAGGTACGCCAGTAAAGAGCGGGAAAGCGGGAGAATAAAGTTAGCCCCGGAAACCGCTTGAGAACGGACAGTTAGCCCCGGAACCGCTGAGAGGACAGTTAGGACCGGACAGCTTGAGAGACCAGTTGAGAACACCAGTGCTGTACTTCGTTTAGAAGGATATGTTAAACTTGGAGTTTAACTAGAACAGAGAGTTAGCTCCGGAACCGCTTGAGAGGACAGTTAGGACCGGACAGCTTGAGAGACCAGTTGAGAACACCAGTGCTGTACTTCGTTTAGAAGGATATGTTAAACTTGGAGATTAACTAGAACAGTTAGCCCCGGAACCGCTTGAGAGGACAGTTAGGACCGGACTGCTTGAGAGACCAGTTGAGAAACTAGTGCTGTACTTCGTTTAGAAGGTATATGTTAAACTTGGAGTTTAGCTAGAACAGTGAGTTAGCCCCGGAACCGCTTGAGAGGACAGTTAGGGACTGAACCAGCTTGAGAGACCAGTTGAGAACACCAGTGCTTTACTTCGTTTAGAAGGTATATGTTAAACTTGGAGTTTAAGCTAGAACAGAGAGTTAGCCACGGAACCGCTTGATAGGACAGGTTAGGGCTGAACCGCTGGAAAAGACCGGTTAGGAGAAAACTAGTGCTTTACTTCGTTTAGAAGGTATATGTTAAACTTGGAGTTTAGCCATAACAGTGGTTAAGGAACTCGTAGAGGCATACGAATAGCCAGTAATAAGGAGTGTTTATATACTATTGCTTATTGAATTTATGAAGTCTGTGTGACGAGAATATTGTGAATAAACCAACTCTTGTGTAATTGTTACATCACTGGCCTTGTTCTTAAATACGATTGAAGAGAGCTACGAACTATATTCATTCACCCTTGGCCGAACTAGGCACATCTATTGCTTGGGGGATGTATAGGCACGACTGTGCCACAGTGTTAGCTCATGGGAGCATTGTCCGGTTATTTTTTTTTTTTACGTTTTTCTTTAGCCGTGAACATGTCAAGAAATATTAAAGTAAAGGGCCATTTTCACACCAGGGGAGCATAGGGTGTATGATGATAGAATCATTTTTTTATAGACCAATCGCCAGCCACCTTCACTTATCAGTACTTTGACACTGTACCCATTTTAGGCTGGATCGACCAGGGAACTAAGGTCAGATGTTTTCAACATTGCTCATTCTGGATTCAAACCCACTACCTTATCTACGGTGCCCACACAAGGGTAATATATTTTACTGGCTAAATAGAAATGTGATTTCTATTGGAGATACATCAGTTAAGTGATTTTTGTATATACTTGTTCCTACTAGTAGCATTGTAGATTTATGTTAGTGCTGATGAGGGTTCTCTAGCCACAGCGTTCTCTTGATGTTTGTGATATCTGAAGCTCACTGTTTCTAACCTTTTGTTTGGTTTAATACCTTTTCAAGATCTTCAGGAAATGTACTAGATATTCTAAAAACTCCCGGATTTAAGCCCTAAAAAGCTAGGCAACTTTTCTGTAGTTGTATCAATATCCTTTTGTTTGTGTATACAGGTGAAGGCTTTCCAGCTTTAACATCTATTTTATCATCCAAAACTGTGTTTTTGTCAACCTATATTGTGGTGCAATGCAGGTCAGGTGAGTGGGGTATTATTTTTTTTTATCTTAAACAAATTAAAACATAGAAAACTTACTGAAGTAAGCAATGTAGATGGCACGTCCAAATTTCTCTGGATTTTTCATATCAGCTTGAAACGTTGGGAATGCCGGGTGGCCTCCAAAAGCAAAACAGATTGTTCCAAAAGCCATAAAGAAACCTGTGAACTCTATTTTCGGATGGAAAGCTGGAATGTCCAAGTCGATACCGTCTTTTATAATATTGGCTACCACAACACAGCATGCTATACTTGTGGCGACGACAGCTCCAACTGCAATGGGCCTGTCAAATTATATATATATATATATATATATATATATATATGTACTATATATATGTATATATATATATATATATGTGTGTGTGTGTGTTTGTGTGTGTGTGTGTGTGTGTGTGTGTGTGTGGTAAAAGTAAAGTTAGTCCTCCCATTCAAATAGTGTTACACACTACCTCACTTCTAATTGGTTAACTGTCAGCCTAGCTCACTTCTGACTGGTTGACCTTAAGCCACACGTCCTTCTCACAAGATTACGGGGGTTTCCGCAATGCTGTTGATATTGCGTGTTGTATATTTCAGCACGCCAGCGCTTTTAACACTCCAAAAACATGGACAAACTAGGTCTAACACACAACACCCCTAGAGGAAGCTGCAACCTATGTCACAGGCATTTTCCTTTTCTAAAAAAAAAATGTAAATGCAATACAAGCCAGAAAGCAAGCAACAGAGCGGCACCCCCAGTAAAGTAGACCAGTCCAACAAAGTTATCAATGGAACGTGACCTACTTTGTTTGGGGAGACTATCAGTTGTGTAAATATGTATATAAATAGACACACACACACACCCATCTTCTCCTAAACTTGTGACCTATGTGACTTACAACAATCTACATTCAAGATCATACAATAACAACAAAAAGTACATAAAGAAAGTTAACAACATTAGTAGGATAATAAAGTTCCCGGAACTGATACAATAGAGTTCATATTATTCATTTTCCACATTATGTACACGAACTATACATAAATGCAATGAATGTTTGCATATGATGTGCTATTTTTATAACCCATTGCAATGAAAATAATGTTGAAAAATATAAATTCAACTAATGACCTATTAGTCAGAATAAAAATCTGTAAGTCGATTAGATCCTGTATGCCTAAGTTAATTAGATCCTGTATGTATATTATACAGTTACTGAGTCACTGCCTCATGCAGATGAACTTTGAAGAAAACACCCCATCTAAGCACCTCCAACAACATTCTTGTTAGGGATACAGTGGGTTTATCGCCCCCATCTCCCACAAATAAGGCCCCGGGACCCACATGGGAACTTCTTGAAATTGAAAACCCTGGTCGTCAAACGCCTGCAGAGCTAAGATGTGTCGTCCAAAAAGTGTAAATATTGTAGTCATGTTGTAAACGGCACAACACAATTACATCTTCAGATAAACGCAGAAGACATAAAAATGCAGCAAATGACATGAAAGAGAAGAAGATAACATATAAATCATCACCATTGTTATTACCATCTATTTTCTTCTTTCTCAGCACCTTGAATACTTATTATCACTATCATTACCATCATCATCATATGGTGGTCTGTGTGCTAAAATGACTGAGTTGCCAGTCTTGCACTCTGAAGGACTAAGTTAGTTTAGCACTAAATTGACAAGTTCAAATTTTTCTGAAATCCCTATGGGATCATTGCTGGAATAAATACTATGTGCCTTGTGCAACACTCTCGATAGGTGGCAGATGCTTTGCATGTAGACCAATACCACCTGAATAAACAACGTGTACAGAAATCAATGCAAGTCATTGTTGCGTAGCGGCTGAATGCTTTGCAGCCAGCCCAAAGGACAAGGGTTCAACTCTGCACTGAGTCATATTTTGTTTTTAACTTTATGTTGGCTTCCAGGTTGACCCAGTCTAAAATGGGTGCCAGGTTATGTGACTGGAAGTAAAAGTGGCCAGCATGATGATGTCACCAACTGGTCTATAAAATTAAAGATCTAGCATGATGTGCCTGCTGTGCCAAAGAAAGTGAACAATGCTCCTTTACTTTTCTTTTTTAAAATTAAGTTGATCATCTCATTTTGAATTATATGTAATATTTTTAATCATTATCATGTTCTTCATCATCATCTTTTTTGACTTCGTCCTCTGGTATTATTTATGATACTCATTTTAATGAAATAGAAAAATAATCATCACAATAAGCATCACTAATATTATCATCATTTTTTCATCTTTTCCCTCATTACATCAATTGGCTTCTTCTTCTTTAAAAACTATTTCTTGGCGACTTTCCAACTGTGACCACAACATTCACTTAATTCTTGGAAAGAACAGGGTTCCTCCCCCCCCCCCCCCCCCCCCACAAGAAGGCTAGGTAGACTTTGAGCAAGAGAGGCTAAGATAATTAAGAGTCTTGTATTGCGCATCATTGGCTCCATTGAGATCCCTATATAACTGTATTCCTTCATTCGTTGTCCTGTTGTTCCATAAGATGTCACACAGGATTCACAATCTATTTCTCCATTCTGTTCCATCCTGCGTCATCACCTCGATATCATGGATGGAATCCAGTCCAGCAAATTTAGCTTCTTTAATCAGCCTTCACCTTAGGGTTCCTCTTGAACATCCTCATTTCCTCAATCCCTCTATTTCCCATTTTAAAGCCTATTCGGTGATTCTCTGTTCATCTCTTCTCAAAATGTGCCCAATATAGCATCTTCAACTGTTGATAGCAGTGGTTGATGAGACATTTTTCTTATTTCTTTGCTTCTCTTAAACTGATCATATTTTATGTCCACTGTTTACTTTTAACTGCATTTAACCTTCATTCCACATCTTTAGTGGTTCTCCTGCTGTCATTGGCTTGTGTTAAAACATACAACTATATTACAAAAAAATTTTTGGGTGTTCTTCTATTGTGTACTGCTATATTACCAAAAGTCTTTGGGTGTTCCCAGCCAACTGATAGGAAGAAGGGCTCCAGCCACTATGATGAGCCAGTAGCAGAAGGAGATGTCTTTGCCAGCACTCTTGATCAAAGACTGTATGTTCTCTGAAGCAAGCAGCAGGAAAACAACGGCAACACCAAACAGCGTTATGTTTATGGCACATGACACCACCATCCTGTAATACAATTAAGAAAACCATAGCTACCTTATATATTCAATACATATGCATGTTATTGGTTTTGTCGGGACCACTGTCTGTTTTACTTTTTAATGGGCATTTTGTCTGGTACTTGCCTAGCAAGGAATGGAGCAAATACCATATTACAAGGGCTGGCTGGTACAAATGAACCGTTTGCCACAGTGACACCGTTCACTGCTTGTATCATTCAGTAGTCATTTAGCTCACTGAATATCAGTCTACAGTCAAATGTGTTCAGTGGTTCATGAATCACTAACGAGTAAACATCCAAATTGTTATTGCCTTTTCCGCCAGCTGTAACATTCTTGGTATCATTCATTTTCTATATGTACCAAAACATACTAAAAGGTAACAAGTTTTTTTTTTTTTTTTTTCAATTTTAAAAACCACAAATATTAATTGACTTTACAAAATGCACACACCACACGCACACGTACACACACATAACCATTTTTATGCACATATATAATTGTCTCACCTAATATTTTATCAGACTTGAAATTCTTTATTCATCACACAACTTCTGTATCATTTGTTTTAAAGTTCAAATTATTACAAAGCTGTTGTGGTGGCTTTTAGTGTGTGCAAATAATGTCTACGAACAATAACTTTGAGCTTATCAGTGCAGTTTTTTTTTAACTGTTTCAAATAGGAGTGATTTTATAATCCTAATATTGTTAAACAGAGAGAAAACTCTTTCCGCAGCACAAAATACTTCGAAATAAAACTAAATCAGAAAAGCTTGTGCGACAAATAAACTGGAAAGTTACAAAAGACATGAAAATTCGGCAAAAGACATGAAAGAGAATCATCTATCAGTTGCCTTGATGGACGTTCCTACAGGCCTTTAAAAGCTGAAACAAACGCCCGCTTGACCAATCACGTCAAATGGTAGATTTGCATTAACAATTGCAATATTGCATCATGCTTATTTTCATTACACTCCCAGTCACCTTTCTGAGAGAAAAAAAAAATTCCAGATTTAAAAAAAAATGATGTAAAATTTCAAAAAACATACGGAAACATTGGGCGTTGTACAAAAGTAGAGTTTTTCTCCTTAAAACTTAAACAGTACAAAATGTGTACAAAACGTAACAACTTCGGCAGCTCTGGTGTCTGGACATGAAGCATTTCTTGGCACATAGTTGATGGCTTCTTGGTGATCAAAGAAGGGAAATAACGGGATGCTGAGGGCATCAGATTCCCGGAAGCAGAATCATTCATTTGGTTTCAACATTTGATTTGATATACATCACCCTACTCTCCGTACCAGGAAAACTGTTCTGCAGCATGCTAATGCAGAGACTGAAAAAGCCAATAGATGCAAGACTCCGAGAAGAACAAGCAGGATTCAGACCGAATCGGTCATGCATCGACCATATATTCACACTCAGAACCATCGTAGAAGAGTCAGTAGGGTTTCAATCCCAACTCATCATCAACTTTGTTGATTTTCAGAAGGCCTTTGACAGCATACACCGCCCTACACTCTGGAAGCTACTCACAATCTATGGTTTCCAAGATAAATATGTCAATATTATAAAGGCCTTCTACACCGATTCCCGCTGCCTTGTTAGAACGGAATCTGGTAACTCTGATTGGTTCCCAGTAGAAACAGGCGTGAAACAAGGATGTGTCTTGTCACCAATGCTTTTCGGAATAGCACTCGATTGGGTCATGCGCAAATGCACACAGGACACACATCTAGGCATCAAATGGGTCGACAAAGTTCTCGAAGATCTTGACTTTGCTGACGACCTAGCACTCCTGAGCACAACACATCTAGAAGCTCAGGAAAAAATGGACCGCCTCCAGAATATTTCAAGCCAAATCGGCCTTCAGGTCAACGCAGCCAAACGAAAATCATCGATCTTACCAACGAGTCGAAAGACATCAAACTAAAGGATATTGTTCTTGAAAAAATCACCAGCTTCACATACTTAGGGAGCAAGATAACCTCTGCGGGAGATACAACATCAGAAATAACGACTCGAATCGCGTTAGCATCAAGTGCCTTTAACAAACTGTCAAACATTTGGAAGTCAAGATCACTCAACAACAACACGAAACTTAAGGTCTTCAATTCCTGTGTGATCCCAGTGCTAACTTATGGTTGTGAGAGTTGGAAATCATCAGTATCAATCGATAAGAAACTAGTCGCTTTCGAGAATAGATGCCTCCGAAAGCTATTGAATGTTCACTGGTCGGACTTTAGGTCCAATACATCTATAAGACAGGAAACAAAACAAAAATATGTGTCTGATTTTATTAGAAAGCGTCGCTGGAATTACATCGGTCACGTACTCAGAATGGACATACAGAGACTTCCCCCACCAAGCCTTCGTATGGTCACCAGAGGGTAAAAGAAAACAGGGAAGACCAAAAGAAACTCTCCGTAGAACCATCACAAGGGAGAGCTCAACCATAGGTCTCAGTCGCACTCAAGACCTACATCAAGTGGCAAAGAACCGACAGACGTGGAAAGCTATGACCTCTGCCCTATGCGCCATCTTTGGCACAAGAGGAATAACTAACTAACCTAATTTGCAGAATTTGATGGCATCAAAAAAACTTTGCCTGTAAGAAACAAGGCTAAGCACCAACCGTACATGTATTCCTAAGAATGAACCAATCACAAGTCAAGCAGTGCTCACATTCTGCAAACAAATGTATGTGCAGAAAACACATATTTGTTTTTGTTTTTTAAATTTTAATAGCTCAGTACTACATAGAAAACCCTTCATGACCTCATCTGGGGTTATGACCTGTGGTTTGGGAACCGTATGATTTGAGGTGTGAACAATTGATCAACATCATGGCACACGGGTAGTAACCCATTAGTGCTCCGTTCTCTTTCTAAATCAAATTTGAGTCCTGAAAAGCTCAGCACAGTGCATAGGTTCTGTAGCACCGGCGAGGATCCAGAAATACTTTGGGTAGATTTGTAACTCCACATTTTGCCTGGGCAGCGCCGTTAGGCTACTCTTTTCGATTTCCAATTACCAAGGGATTTTTTACGTGCGCAACAATACACACGGGCATCTCACTACCCAAAGACCAGGGGGGAATTACTAGAAGTCCAAGTCCACGTGAAAAAATCCCAGCTCTTATCGGGGATTGAACCCGAAACTTCTAGGACTCGAAGCGGACACGGTGCCTTTAGACCATGCAGCCCCATGGAAACTCTAATAAACCTAAGGAAATGGGTCCTTCACTTCTTTGCTTACCTTCCTGGTTTCCCAAAAGTCACCTGGCCAATGGCTGGGTAAGGATATCGTGTAGGCTCCTTGTACTCGTCATATCTGTGCATGACCATCAGCCAGCTCTTCCCCAGCAACACGCCCGTGTAGGCAGACACCAGGGCACACATTATGTTCAGTAAAATGCCGATATAGCCTGGTAATATTAATGAAATTATAACAGTAGCATTAGTTATGATGGTGTCGGTAGCAATAGAGGCGGAATCAGTAATACAAGGTCAGCAGTTAACAATGTAGTAATATTAGTAGTAGTAGTTGGGAGCAGTCGTGGTCTAGCGTCAAGACGAACGCCTGCGCATCATAAGGTCGCGGGTTCAAGTCCTTACAGGGTCCCGACTTTTTTCCAAAACGACCTTGGCTCCCAGGTCGATCCAGCCTTGAGTGGGTAGCAGGCGCAGTCCTGGGAAGTAAAGGCGATGATGACCACTAAGTGATGTCTGAAGTCTATAAAATATAGGTCTAGCCCTATATACTCAACACGCCTGAGGGCGTGGCCAAGGGTCCTTTACTTTATTAGTAGTATGCGTAGTAGTAGCAGCAGTAACAGCAATAGTAGCAGCAGTAACAGCAATAGTAGTAGCAGTAACAGCAATAGTAGCAGCAGTAACAGCAATAGTAGTAGCAGTAACAGCAGTCGCTGCAGAAGTAGTAAAAGCAGTAGCAGTAGCAGCAGTATCGATATTTTTAGTAGTAAAAGTCTGTGCGTCTGGGCCTCACAATCAGCAGTGGTCCAAAAGAATTCAAATTTGCTTTAAATAGGAGGTATACATAAATAATTTGTCTCTGCCTAGGCAAACCCATTATTTATTTTTTCTTTAAATTAAACGGCACTATATTTTCATTATCCATATATTTAAAAGTGTAAAATTTTCATAGTTTTCTGAGATTAGCTTGTTTATATTTGAAAAAAAAGTAGGGGCCTGTGGGTATTGTATACTTTAGGGCCTCACCAAATCTAAATCTGGCCCTGAGTTTTAGTAGTAGTAGTAATAGTAGTAGTAGTAGCAGCAGCAGCAACAACAGCAGCAACAACAGCAAAATCACCAACTACTACATAGTCGCAGATTTATTTCAGATACTATACTCATTCATTCATTCAGTAGCATGTCCCTCGCGGAACCTCGCTGCCATAACAACCCTCCGGAAAACCTTCCTATCATGAGCAAGATGTCCTGCGTCTGATACACCCATCTGGAGATCATCTGCCACATCCTGCACCCATCTTCTCCTTGGCCTTCCTCTTCCTCTCTTCCCAGGCATATACCCCTCCATTATTGTTCTCTCTAGACTTCCATGACGTTTCAAGTGACCAAAATATTTCAATTTTCTTTGTTTTATTGTCTTTACTAGCCAACCCTCTTCAATATTCAGCTCTTGAAGTATGGATGCATTTGTTCTTTTCTTTACCCAAGATATTCTTAGAACCTGTCTGTAACATTTATATTCAAATGCATTTATGCGTTGAGATACTATACTAGGCGACCAAAATGTGAAATATAATGTCCTGGTTGTTTTCTCAACGTTATTACTCTAAAAAACTGTAGTTATAATCTTCTCATTATAAAACATGTTTTGGGGGTGGGGTGGGAAGCGGGAGAGGGGGGGGGGGATTTGCTGCTTAAAAGGCATATCGTAAAAAGCGACTAACTAAGGATTTGCTGAAACCGGATGAGTTGTGTAGAAAGGCACAATATCACGGCCTAGCTGCAACTCACAACACAGCCTAATAAGTGTTGTTTTAACGATAAGAGAAGAAGAAGAAGAAGAAAAAGAAAAAGAAGAAAAAGAAGAAGAAGAAGAGGAGGAGGAGGAGGAAATAATAATATTAATAGGAAGAAAAATGTAGTACAACGTGGTAAATGACCACGGCTTTCTTTTTTTTTTTTTCCTTTTGAGAACCCTCGGCTTCCTGGTTGACCCAGTCTTAAATAGGCAGCATGTAAAGTCATGAGAAGTTAAGGCATCCGTCGTGATGTTTCCATGTCACCCTTCTAGAGCCGATTGGTCTATACATATAGGTGTATCTCTATATGTCCAGTAAGCTTGAAGTCGTGGAAAAGGGTCCTTTATTTTGTTTTTAACAAGGTGACATCAATACCACTGCTGGTGATATCAAAACACAAACCAAACCAGAATTACGGAGAAACAAACAGCCTACAACAACAGCATCCCTAGCAAAACAACAACAAACACCGGCTAGTAGACAACATACATCAGTGTTTACCGGTTCCGTTGAGGGCAGACGGCAAGGCCAAGACACCAGAACCCGCCATCTCTCCCACAGCAAACACGGCTGTCGTAAGCACTGTCAAGCCACGACGGGGCACACCGCCAGTTTCTACGTCTCCCTGTAAACCAAGTCTACCAATCAATGTGAATGAAATGCGCATGCAGAGTCTAAGAATTCAGCTATAGTAAAGTCTTGAGGACGCTCACCTACGGATTCGAAAGACGCGAGTTCAGGTCCTGACAGAGTTGGACTTCTTTCAAAAAATACTTTGGCTCACAGCCTTAAACTCAGCCTTAAATAGGTACCAAGTAAAGTCATGGGAAGTAAAGCCGGCCGGCGTGATGACGACCACGTCGCCCACCAAGTGCCGATAGATCTATAAAATATAGGTCTAACCCTTTGTGCCTATTACGTCAAAAGGCCTCTTAACCCTTTAGAGACCACTAGGCCAATTGCAGGACAAAAGGAGCCTCTCTTGACTGTGGTGACACTTTGCAAGCTAGCTTGGTTTGGTGAAACATGATTCGGCTGCATATACTGTGCTTAGAAACACTGGGAGAGGGGAGTAGTCGAAGAAGAGGAGGGCAAAGAAAAACCTGCAATGACAATATCAAGAAATGGACAGGACAAAGTAATCATACAAGCGAGAGACAGTGAAAAATTGTGGGTTTTATATGCTAGTGCTTCTATCAGTACATCTCCACAACCCTAACGTGTCAAAGGGTTATGTTGTGTAATAGAAATAAAGAAAGACCCAAAAATACACGGAGAGGGGAGCTACTTAGTAAAGTTAAAAAGATTTTTTTTAAAAGGACACAGGAGAGCTTCGTGTGATAGCAAAGAATAGAACGACTTGGTTTGAGTTGGTGGATAGCGTATGCCCTATTGGAGGGATAAAAGACAGAAGAAGAATATGACTCGCACAACGTGGTGATGAATTGATGCATGACAAGATATATGTATGTAAGGGCTCTTTGGAGGGCAGTGCGGGGGCACAGATGTATCATCGCTATCTCAGTGCTGCGAGGTTGCCGGCGATTAACACTTAAGGGAAAGGTGAAACGGATAAACAATCAGACTGTTAGTGTTACCATCGGAATTAAAACTTTGCGCTTGCTGCTGAAGATGGAGACGGAGTGGTTATGAGAAGGTCCCTAATGATGTGATGTCGACTCTTTATTAAACATTAAACACTGTATGTATATGAATCTCATATATATATATATACACTTGCGCGTGTGTGTGTGCGTGTGTGTGTGTATAGTAAACTTGGAAAAAAGGTGGGGGGGGGGGGATCTTCTGAGTCGAAGTGGCAAGCCGTTTGCCTCGGATTCTGAAGGTTGTGGTTTCGTTTTGCATGTGCATTTTTCACTTCACAAAGGCAGTTGTTATGTGTTTCCAAAAGGGTCGGCTTTGGATCTACATAGTTCGTTCTTTGTGCGACGCTTTCGGCAGGGGGTTTGCTTTTAACGACGAGAGACTGAACTATAAAGGAAAACGGAGCAACGAAGTTGATCCCAAAAGCTTTAGCTTGATATAACATAACATAAAATAACCCTTGACCCATTATGGTCGTGGAGGTGTATTGACTGATGGAAGCACTATCACATAAAACCCGCCATGTTTGTCTGTCTTTCGCTTGATGAATAAGTGTATGATAACTTAATCCTGACCATTTCTTGATGTTGTCATTCCATATTTTTTTTTGCTCTCCTCTTCTTCGACTTCCCCCCAGTGTTCCTTGAAGTACAATCTTTGCAATCGAATCATGTCTCACAACGTGCCCAAACCAAGCTAGCTTGCGACGTTCCATCACTGCCAAGAGAGGCTCTTGATGTCCCGCAAATGAGTATATTCTGTCTCTGACATATTTATTAGTTTTGCGTTCTAAATAACTAATTCGTAAAATGCGTCTGTAGCATTTACATTTGAAAGCCTGAATCCTCATTTCCATTTTCACAGCGAGAGTCAAACTCTCACATCCATATAAAAAAACAGACAACACCAGTGATTTGTAAATTCTGTCATTGACTGCGGTGCTGATTTTGCTCTTCTGCATCCTATATACTTTTAACATATACCGTGATGGTGGGCATAAGGAAATCAAAGACATCATGGAAAGTTAACGTGTCGGGGAGGTAAGCAACAGACCAAATGGTTTTCCGGGCATTTTGTGATGCGAGCGACGTTCTGCAAACGACCTTCTACATGATGATGATGATGATTGCGACACAAATACTCTAAACATTTATCATCATCATCAGGTGTCTTGCCGACTGAAGTGGGCGATCATGCCTCTCCACAATCTGCGATCACCTGCAGCCTGTATCAGTTCATGGGCCGACCACCTTCATGTCATGCAACAAGACTGTCAAGAATCTTCTCTTGTTGTCTTCCTCTGTCCCTCCTTCCACAGATCTTTCCAGTGGTAACAACATGTTCTATTTTCCCTCTTCTCATGGCCGAAAAATGATGACTGTCTCCTTTTGATGTCTGTGATAAGTTGTCTTCGGGCTCCCGCCTCTTTCAAAACCTCTTGGTTGCTTTTTTTTTTTTTTTTTTTTGGCTGTCCAGGGTATTCTGCGCATTCTCTGTAAAGCCACATTTCTGAGGCCTCACAAAACTGTTTGGCCTGCCTTCCGATGGTCCAGGATTCACAGCCATATGTTAAAACTGGATGTATGTAGCAAGCAAGAATTCTTTTTCTAACTCTCAATGACAAGGATATTTTGAACAAGATCTTCTTCATTTTACAAAATACAGTTTTTGCCTCTTCTATTCTGTTTCTTATCTCAGTTATGCATCTTCCATCTGATGTTTGTTATCCATGTGCCCAGATACTTAAATTTCTGTACTTGTCCTTAAAAAAAAAAAAACACCATCAACTATTTGTTTTTTAAACATTTAGGAATAATTCGTCTCTTTTATACCACCATTACTTCTGTCTTCCCATTATTCAAAATGAGGCCCCATTCTTCCACATTCTAACATCACAATGTCTATCGTTTCCTTTAGTTCTTTCTGACGTGTTGATAACAAGACTGTGTCATCAGCATAACGTAAACTCTAAGCAATTCTTGTGGATAACACGTACCTTGATAATTGTCAAGACAGGGATAACGGACGTAGATTCTTGCAGGTTTCCCCATCTGTTGAAGAACATGAACGTGAAGTCTATTGTATTCATCATCATCAGTACCAACATAATAACCGCCATCATCGTAAGATCAGCAGCCTTTTTATCAGGGTCATTATCATTATCGTCATCCTTGTCATTACTACCATCTCTATGATGACTGTGATCATCACAACCCCCAACACTATCATCGTCATCACTACAATTACCATCAGATTTATCATCAGTATTATCGTTATCCGGGAGTCGCCGTGGTATAGAGGCTACACGCTTGCCTGAAAGGTCGTGGGTTCGGCTCCTGGTGGAGCCAGACTTTTTTCAGAAATGATCTTGGCTCCCAGGTCTATCCAGCCTTGAGTGGGTGCCATGTGCAGTCTTGGGAAGTAATGGCAGCCGCTGTGATCTTGACCATATCACCCAGCAAGTGCTGATTGGTCTATAAAATAGAGGTCTAGTACTAAATGCCCAATACGCCTGAAGGCGTGGAAAAGGGTCGTTTACTTCCTTAACCTTACTTATTATCATCATCATCCTCACTATTGTGATCACCATTGTTAAACACATTAATATTGTACAGGATTTGCTAACCAACAAGCTAATTTTCGATTCAACCAATCAACGATTGATCAAGGAAAGAACTAGTCAACCAACTAATCAACGAATGATTAAGGAAAGAACCAGTCAACGAACTAATCAACGATTGATCAAGGAAAGAACTAGACAACCAACTGATCAAAGAATGATCAAAGAAAGAACCAGTCAATGAACTAATCAAGAATGGTCAAGGAAAGAACCAGTCAACCTACTAATCAACGAAAGATTAAGGAAAGAACTACTCAACCGACTAATCAACGAATGATCAAGGTAAGAACTAGTCAATCAACTTATCAACGAATGATCAAGAAAAGAACTAGTCAACCGACTGATCAATTTCTTTGTTTTCTGTTGGTGCCGCTAGGCGTCGAAGCATAACAGATGGTCGGTTTCTGAGCTAGGATAAGCTCGGTATGTTGTGTTTTGTGGATAATCAACGTATCTTTGACTCCTTTAATCTATGTTCTTCCTGGTCGTCCTCTACATTTTGGTGTTTTTACTATCATGTTGAACGCTCTCGTTGCTGGCATCACTTGGTTAATTTTCATTAAATGGCCAAACTATTCCAGTCTTTGTGTGTCACTGCATTTTATTATAGGCATTGTTCCTATATAGTTCTTGAAATTTCTTAGTTTCTCACAGGATCTCTTTTAGATTTATTCACGGCCTTTCTTAAACATCCAGTTTCGCAGGTTGTTAGTTCTCTGTCGTGTTCTTTAACCAATGCACAAGCCTGACATTGATACCACAAGGTTGCTATGAAAAATGCATTTATAACCTGCCTTTAAAAAAAATCTTGAGAGATAGCCGGTGATTCAAAATTAGTATCAGTTGCCACGTAACACTGATGGATTATTGTTTCAATTTTTCTGTCTATTCTGCTTTCATATGTATAGAAGCTTCTCCACTTTTTAAAGTTTTGAACTTGTTTTAAACTTTTATCTAAATGACGATTGTTTAGTGTTCTATTGTTATACACATGGCGTCTGTTTATTCAGTGTTTATTTCCATTTTGTGTTGAAGGCAGGGGTCGTGTCTGATGTATGAATCAACAAAAACAGCAGCCAGTCAACAAATCAACAATCTTAAAAACCAACCAACTAATCAGTCAACTAGCTAAACAGTCACCGATCAAGTCAGTGTTCTACTTTAGTCAAGCCATCCAGTATTGTTACTTCATCTCCACATTGGTACTCTGAAAATGAGTGCTTAGAAGGGCCGAATGTCAGACGGGCCTGCGTGCCCAATTTGTAACCCTTTAAAAATAAAGTTTGTACATTCGTTCCACCTTGCTATTGTTTCCAGTAAGCTAACCAGTTATGACCAAGGTTTTGGGTTATACCTTCTCATAACATGTCCACACACAGACTCACACACACACACACACACAACCCACACACACAATACAAAGTAAAACTGAAAACATATAACACACAAAGAGGTTTCAGTCCTGCTTACCTTCCCAGCTGACCGCAGTGTTGTGACGGGTGTCGGGCAGCGAACCAACGTTTACCTCCAAACATATGTGCCCTATTTTTTTTAAGAGGCCTATCACCGTAGTAGTCTTATGACCCGATAAATCAGCCGACTGATAAAACGTGTACTTTTTTTTTCGATGACTGCTTTCGGGTATGGAGAGGTATGGAAAAAAAGTGGGGGGAAAAAAGAGGGGGGGGGGGGGGGGGTTCTGATAATTACCATCAAGACACTGTTGTGTTGTTTATCTCCGCTTTTGAATGGGAATGTTACGTCAGTGCCGAATACGTTGTTTTGCAAGTTAAATAGGTCGCGCCTATGGCGCATGGGACATACAGTGCTTGACTAGTATTTTTTATATATCTGTCTACCCGCAGCCTTTACGACCCATGTCATTGTTGGTACCCGTATTAGGCTGGCTCGACCAGTGTCGCATTATGTGTGTAGAAAGATAAACAATACATAAAGTTATAACAACAAGTGGGGTCGCCGTGGCGGAGTTGCTAGACGCTCGCCGCGGATCGGAAGGTCGTGGGTTCACTCCCTGGCGAAGCTGGACTTTTTTCAAAAATTACCTTGGCCGACCTAGCCTTGAGTGGGTACCGGGTGCAGTCCCGAGAAGTAACCGTGGCCGGCGTGATTCTGACCACATCACTCATCTTGTACTGATATAAAAATATAGGCCTATATGCCCTATACGCCTAAAGGCGTGGTAGAGGGTCCTTTTACTTTTTTTATTACTTTTATATCAACAAGTGGGGCCCGCCTTCCTTTCCCGTGCTCAATAATAAGACTTCACAAAACGGCAGCCTGCCAAGTAACCGAACGTACCCTAACTCAGCTGCCTAGCGTCTGTTAAACAAGCCGCGACACGGTACAGGGCGGATAATTGGCAAAAGCAGACGAAGAATGACCAGGGCCAGTTTGCGCTTTAGCTTCTATCCAGACATCTTCATTATGCTTTCCATTCTCAATCTGCCATTACTGCTTATGTTTACCACTTGTGTACTTAGCCCGCTGTTATCACACAGGCCGCCTGAAGTTTCAAGTACACTTAACATGCTGTTTTCACACAGCACATGTGTCCCACTTGAAAAGTACAATTTCTTCCATCCATCTCGTTGACATGAACGAAACCCTGGAGTCACGACCCCCCCCCCCCCCACCCCAACCAGAAAGTGCATGAAAGGTGAAGAGACGAAACATTCAAAGAAGGGGGAACCTCTTTTTTGTTGTAGTTTCGCTAGGCATATTTACGTTCAGCAGTTTGCCATTGTCGGCTCTGTGGCTAAGTCGATGCGAACTCTTCCTAATGCCGGGATGCCGGGTTCGATCCCAGCTGCGGGCCATACGCCTTGCGTTGGTTTCGACAGTGGTATAAAGAAAGCCGACCGTCCAGGGAGCTAAGGCAAACTACTGGACCTAAATTTCCTAGAAAATCCACACAACAGCCGCTGTTAGGGTTGGTTCTGCAACGTCCTGTAAAGGATACGCAACTAACCAGTTCGCCATTGCCTACTGAACTGTCGACTCTCAATACCACTGTTTGTAGACTTTCGACGTTAACTTCTCTAGAAGCCCAAAGAACACAAGATGCGCCGATTTACGTCTCTCTTGAGCCTCTGATGCCAAACCCCCCTGGGACTCAAATAGTTAAGATGGGTCTGCAGGTCTTACAAAACGGGGACCACTGCTCTAAGTTTCAACCGTTAATTTCAGTGCAACTGAGCACAGTCTAACCACAACCACCATTCGCAGACAGCACGTCTTTAAATCCCCGTTGGTTGTCAACTCTATCTATGTGTTTTACACCTATTTGGCCTTCTCTTAAACGTACCGGTGACCTGGGCAATTATATTACATCACAGAACTAGACAGTGGTACCTGCCCAATGTATTATAAACCTTTCCATTAAATCAGTCTGTTATCAGGAGTGACGCGCGAATGTAGATATGAAAAATGTGTGATTGTTGAGTTATGTATGATCAAATGGGTGTCGTGATAAAATGGGACAGTAGACCCAGTGTACTAAGTCCACGACTCGTGTTAGATAAGAGAGTTACAACAAGGCTAAGTTGCAAACCAGAATGAACCACAATCAAAATCAAAATCCCGGAGATCCTGGATGTCTTAGCGTTCGAAAAACGGCTCTAGGGTCATTAGCATGTGAAGGTGACTGTTGTAAGGACCGACCAAGTAGACATACACGCGCACGCACTTACACACATAAATACACACTATGGCGCCAGGACCTAAGTGACTCAGATCTCTCCAGCCTCCCTAAAAATTATATTTGTGAGAAGGGGGAGGGGGGGCAGTCCCTTCCCTAGTAAATTGGAAGGGGCCCTATGTACCATCTATAGGCATTCTGTTTACAAGTGTTTGTTTATACATATTATTTCTCTTATATGATTGTATATACTATTATTGTTTTTGTTGTTTATTATTATTACTATTATTATGTTGTTAAACTAGGATTACGCTCCTTAAGCACACTCATCCATTTGCTGATAAAATCGGTAAGAAGTTGAGGAGGAGGTTTGATGTGGGCTTTCTTTGTGTGACGCCCCTGACTGACTTAGCCACTCTGAGGCTACTCCCTACCCCTCAAAATGTTTTGTAGGACGGGAGGAGGGGGGTGGGCTTTAAAACCCGCCCCCTTTCTTCCACAGAAAAATGTGCAATGGGACTATTTAGTATTTGTTGTTACATTTCATATCATTTAACATATTTTTAAAATTGTGTTTGTACCATCACCTAATAATGATAGTTACTATTTTATGTTTATTATTGCACACTTAAACGAGGCATAATTTTCCCTCCCCCTCCCCAAACTTCCAAGAAAATTATAATGGGCTGATTCCCAGACCCGCCAAGATTTAATCATAGCGGCGCGCCTGACACAGACATACAAACACACACATATGCGCTCGCATACACGTACACACACATTTACGAACGCACGTACCAATACACCCATACAAGTAGAGATTAAAAAGTCGTGCGTAAGTCATTGATCTGTACTGATATCGCAGCACTTATCTAACCGTACAGCCATAGGCAACAGTCATGTTGGGGTACGGCAATATAGTCAGGAATCAACCTGTCGTCCAATGCATGTATGTTAGAAGCAACCTGTTGTCTTTGTATGCTTTCTTGAAGCAACCTGTTGTCCAGTGCATGTTTGTTGGAAGCAACCTGTTGTCCAGTGTATGTTTGTTGGAAGCAACCTGTTGTCCAGTGTATGTTTTTTGGAAGCAACCTGTTGTCCAGTGTATGTTTTTTTGGAAGCAACCTGTTGTCCAGTGTATGTTTGTTGGAAGCAACCTGTTGTCCAGTGTATGTCTGTTGGAAGCAACCTGTTGTCCAGTGTATTTTTTTTGGAAGCAACCTGTTGTCCAGTGTATGTTTTTGGGAAGCAACCTGTTGTCCAGTGTATGTTTGTTGGAAGCAACCTGTTGTCAGGTGTATGTTTGTTGGAAGCAACCTGTTGACCAGTATATGTTTGTTCCTCGCTGGGCGGCTTACGATGCAAGCAACCAAATACAACGTTGGAAGAGCGGATGTTTCCTAAGGACGCCACCCCCCCCCCCCTTCTTTTTTTTTTTTTTTTTTAATTCATGATCCTTTTCCCGGCCTTTGGGCTTATGAGGCTAGACTGATATTTTATAGATCAATTCGGCACTCAGTGGGTGACGAGATCAGCATCACTCCGGCCATCTTTCCTTCACATGACGTGGACTCGAGACATGGTGACGGCCTCGAGTGCTAGAGGTTCCCACTGGTCTCTGAGTAGGGAGATCAGACGCCCGTGTGCATTGTTGCGCACATTTAAAAAAAATCCCTTGGCAGTTGGAAATCAAAAAGAGTAGACTAACGGCGCTGCCTGCGCAAAAATTTGGAGTTAAAAATCTACACAAAGTATTGCCAGAGCTTTTAACACTCCAAAAACATTGATTCCTGGGTCTAACAACAACAACAAAACAAAACACACACACACAACAAAAAAAAACTTCAGAGAGTGATAAAACCTATGACACAGGCATTCTCTTTCTCAGAATCAAAATGTAAATGCAAGACATCTCAGAAAGCAAACAACAGAGCAGCATACCCGTAACATCCAGGAAGGTAGACCAGTCCAACAAAGTTATCGATGGAACATGACCTACTTCTCTGCGGAGACTAACGTTGAACTATATATATATATATATATATATATATATATATATATATATATATATATATATATATATATATAGTCGCACAAGGATCTAATTAGCCCATTAACATACGATTAAACACCATGTCACGTGCGTTTAGGTGCGTTCTGCATTATCCTGTTGATTTGTCTACCAATGAAGCGTGGTCGGTGAATGTGTATTTTTTGTCCTGAAATATATTTATGGTTTTGCATTTGTCTACATTTCGTTCATACAAAATAACAAGAAAACTTATAACGTGACAATAAAAATGCCTTTAAAATGTGTGTTTTGGTTATTAGTTGGGTTATTTTCAAGACATTCTAGCTACATGTATGCTTCTAGCCGTGAGCAAGACAATCTGACCCAGCCATCAACATCGACGGGATTTAAAACGGATCACCAATGATCAAGATGATATGTCCACGTACTGACATGAGGATTTTAATTAATATACTATACAACTGACAATACATGGGTCTCTCTATCACACTGCACAATGCCGGTCCTAATTTCACGTATTATTTTCATATGATACTCTATTGTGATGGTTATCACATACGCCTTACAGTCGGAAGGTCCTGCGTTTAGCATCATTGGACTTTTTTTTTTTTTTTATTTAATTGTAAGTTTTCTGTTGCATTTTTTAGCGCTTTCGGTAACGGATGATCCAAGTATATTTTTTTTAAGTAATAACATTTTGACTACAATTATTAATGATCAAAGTGGAAGCCGCGGTATATTCATCGATCAAATGTGTGGAAGGGGGTGTGGGGGAGGGATATGAGGGGGGGGGGGGGTGGTTGGTTCCAACAGTCCGAACTGTAGCCCGGAGTCACGGCTCGGGATGGAGTGCTAGAATCCACGGTCGGGCTCCAGCTGTTCTAGCTAGAGAAGGCGTTGCTAGGATCCACGGTCGGGCTCCAGTTGTTCTAGCTAGAGAAGGCGTTGGTAGGATCCACGGTCGGGCTCCAGCTGTTCTAGCTAGAGAAGGCGTTGCTAGGATCCACGGTCGGGCTCCAGTTGTTCTAGCTAGAGAAGGCGTTGGTAGGATCCACGGTCGGGCTCCAGCTGTTCTAGCTAGAAAAGGCGTTGCTAGGATCCACGGTCAGGCTCCAGCTGTTAAGCTAGAGAAGGCCTTGCTAGGAATCACGGTCGGGCTCCAATTGTTCTAGCTAGAGAAGGCGTAGCTAGGATCCACGGTCGAGCTCCAGCTGTTAAGCTAGAGAAGGCGTTGCTATGATCCACGGTCGGGTTCTAGATAGAGAAGGCCTTGCTAGGATCCACGGTCGGGCTCTAGCTGTTCTAGCTAGAAAAGACGTTGCTAGGATCCACGGTCGGGCTCCAGCTGCTCTAGCTAGAGAAGGCCTATCTAGGATCCTCCTAGATCAGTTCTCCCAATTAAACCCCCCTCCCCCTTTCCAACCCGTTAGGGTGAGGTGGAGGTAGCTTGGTCGGTCAAATTTAATATAAGTTAATATAAGTTTAATATACGTTTGTGGGGCAGTGGAACAGGCCAGGTGGCAGTAAGAACATCAGATACGCTTAGCGACATATGGCAAGGGTGAAGACAAAAATGAATTCCAAGACGGGAGAATAACAATTATCTGGCACTATCCCCCTGTAAGGAAAGTAAAGGGGCTGTAGCATTCAACAAATTTTGTTTCTGACGATCCAAAGGCTGCTGTTGTACTCGCTCCTCCGTGGAGTTTCTACCATATATACGACAGCGGTGGAGACAAAGAGGAAGAATGTTGAATGTTGAATTAAGAATCGACATCACAGCACTCGGGGCACTCACATAATCGCTTCATCCCTATCTTCAGCAGCAAGCGAGGAGTTCAAATTCCGTTCAAATTCTC